AAAAAATGGCTGCTGCCTCCTGGGATGTGGACGGTATAATAATGATCGACTATTTAAGTAAAGGAGAGACAATAACTGGATATTATTACGCTTCATTAATAGATATAGAGAGAGAATAAGAGTAATCGTGCTGGAGTGCTTTTTCATCATGATAATGCCAACGCCCATCAATCTGATGTTTGGGTTCGGTACATCGCTCTGTCCATACAACTACAGGTCTATCGTCATCACCGCCTTGTTATCTAAAATAATGCAGTTCATTATTAACAGCCAGTTCATGCGGTACTTTGAAGAACGCCAGCTGATTAGTGACTGCCAGTACGGTTTCCGTCGAGGTCGCTCAGCTGGTGATCTTCTCTGGCGGTTAGTTTGGATATAGCGAAAGCCTTCGAGTGTTTGGCAAAAAGCGCTTCTCTCGAAGCTTCTTTCCTTTAGCTTTACTCCAGTTCAATCCCCAGAAGACACAAGTTTGCGCGTTTACCTCTAAAAAGAACCCGTCCGTCGTATCTCCTCAGTTTCAGGGCACTCCCCTTGCTGACTCAACCAGTATTGTAATCCTCGGCGTCGACATATCGAATGACGTGCAGTTTCGTGGTCACTTCGAAGAGAAGACCAAACTGGCCTCTAAAAAGCTTGGCGTGCTCAGCAGAGCGAGACAGTATTTCATGCCGGCACACCGCCTGCAACTTTACAAGGCGCAGGTTTGGCCTCAAATGGAATACTGCTCCCATCACTGGAGCGAGGCTCACCAGTGCCAGTTCCTTCCATTTGATCGCATCCAGCGCAGAGCGGTTCGAATTGTCGGCGACCGAGCACTTTCTTATCGGCTTGACTCACTGGCGCTGCGAAGAGATGTTGCATCTCTTTGCGTATTCTATAGTATTCTATAAAAAAAAATTACCACGGAAGGTGCTTAGAGGAATTGTTCGGACTAATTCCAGCTGCTCAATTTCACCATCGCATATAGCGATGATACCATTTTTACTACCTGGATGATTGGCGGTCCACTTTTGTGCGATTTACAAGAAGTTTTCTTCCTCACACAACATCCTTGTGGAATAGACTACTACCACCCATTTTTTCCGGACCGACACGACTTACGGACCTTCAGGAAAAGAGCCTACTCTTTTTTAAAAGATCGGCAACGCATTTGCAATTCCCCGGGTGTTGCAGTTGTTCATATGCAGCGGTAGTCACTTAGCATCAGGTGAGCCGCATGCTCGTTTACCCCCTTTATATGAAAAAATGGCAGGCGCTTGCCATCTGAACTGCTGAGTTGCAGTTAATGCAGCACCCACCATATTCTTCTGACCTAGCTCCGCGGGGTTTTCACCTTTTCACTCACCTCAAACCACATTCGTATTATAAAATTTGACGGCTACGATGAGGTGAGGGGTGCTGTTGTTGCCTTTTTCGAGTCCCACGATTAGGCATTTTTAGGGTTCCGTGGTCAACTAGGAACCCTTATAGTTTCGCCATGTCTGTCTGTCCGTCTGTCCGTCCTCACTTAATCTCTGTGACCGTTAGCACTAGAAAGCTGAAATTTGGTACCAATATGTGTACCAATCACGCCGACAAAGTGGTAAAATAAAAATTGGAAAAAAATGTTTTATTAGGGTAGCCCCCCTATATGTAAAGTGGGAAGTGATTTTTTTTTTAATTTTAACCTTAACGTGTGATATATTGTTGGAAAGGTATTTAAAAATGAATAGGGGTTTACTAAAATCATTTTTGATAATGTCAATAATTTCGGAAATAATCGCTCCAAAAGTAAAAAACAATGTGTCCCCCCCCCTCTAACTTTTGAACCATAAGTTTAGAAAATATGAAAAAAATCTGAAAAGTAGAACTTTATAAGGACTTTCATGGAAAATCATTTTGAACTTGGATGGAAACAACAATACCCACTACCGGAGCAGTTGTAGGAGCGCGGAGCGCTGCTGGAGCGCGAACATAATGGATACCCACCTTTAAACTAATAAGTGGGAACACTTATTGTGACGGACGGAAAACTACGGAACCCTACACTGAGCGTGGCCCGACACGCTCTTGGCCGGTTTTTTTTATTTTCTAAGGCAATTAATCTACTTGCAAAACGCTATTCAAGGTGTAATAGATTAAAGGGCGATTAAGTTGAAAAATAAATACAATTTACTTATACTCGTACTTATCCTAGAGTTTCATTGCATTCCGAAAAATTTGTTGATCTACTTAGTATTCATCGGCAATCTCGCCTGAAGCTTCCATGACTACAATATGCATTATTGAATTTTACATAAAATATTAATGATTCCATTGAGACAGGATATCGCAATGGAATCATGTAAAATATTAATACAACATACTCTTTCGAGTTAATTGATACCATATAACTTTTAAGGGTATACTTTATCATTGCTTAAAATATCATGATAATTTTTTGGTGTGAAATAAAAGTTCTTTGAAAACATTGTTTATTATTTTTATAGAACAATTGGCACGTAAACTTTGCTTTAATAGAGTCTCATTCTATCTTGTTTTACTATTAAAAAAATAAATATTAAATATTTTTTTAATCATGTGTAAAAACACATGACGCCAGGTCATCGTCATTTGGCCTCTAGCATAAAGTCTTGTACCATACTTCTTTTGGACGTAATGCAATGACAGAATACTTTTAGAGTTTCGCACGTATAGTTTACGTAGTAACATAATTTAATCTGTGGTCTAGCCGTGTTGTTTGAATGGGATTATGCGAAAAAATTTTATACGCAATACATTACATTTCTACCTACCTACCTGGGTTGACGACAATGTCGTTTATCTCTTTGTCGGATAAACATATCTGATAAAAGCCGGCAATATAAACCACTATATCGCTTACTACATTACGTTTCCTGTTTACTTCGACTTAAATATGAATGTATTAATTTGGGATCTTACAATTTCCAGGATTTGAAAGAATCTTCCTCAAAATACATGCATTTACGGCAATGGCACCGGTAATTCATGTATTAAATAATAATAAATTCATATCAAGATTACAATATATGAAATAATCGGAAACGATGTTACATAAACCTATTGCTTTCTCAGATAAGGTGTACTTCACTGTGCCTACATGATTGCATACCTATCGATAGCGAAATGTTGCATCACCTTATTACAAGTACACGGGTGTCGCGAGCAACCCAATATCACAATTTTAAGTGTTGTTTTACCATGTGCTTGTCGATATCATATCGACACGTATTGCGTTGTCATGAAAACTTAGTTCTTAATTAATTTCGCATGCATAATAGTTAAAGAATAAAGCTATTTCCTGATAACAGCGAAGTTGGTATATTTTATACGAGAGGGGGCAAACGAGCATACGGCTCACCTGATGGTATAGGTCGCGCCACGAAAGATGAAATTAAATGGAAGTGCGCAGAAGCGAAAAATAGGTGTTGGCACGGTGAGGTGTGAGGTACGGAGAAGCGAAACCATAGCAACGGGTGACGCGCTACTCCCAAGTAGTTTCTTCCTGCGTCCCGTCGCCCGCGCACCTTCTTATGTCGTCTATCGATATCGAAAGTGTTATAAACTACCTGTTATAAAATTTTAAGTTTTTGCGATTATTTTTGTACTTTAAAAAATATTGTATATAATATTTTCAAATAGTGTGCAAATATTTATTACTTTATAAATTTATTTGGGACTATTTAAAATAGCGTAATTCGTAGTATATTGTATAAAGTTGTAAATTTTTTTAAAGAATATTAACAATGTTATAAACATTACTAATATTCCCCTTAACCACTCGTGGTAAGCTTAAATTGCTAGTGTTACGAGTGGTTCACGCCAGTAGTCGAATGACGGATTCGAACCCACGACCTTTTTGAGTTTGCGGTCCACGCCCTGCCATTAGGCTACTGTCGATTCATTATAACAAATATTTTGTTATTTTCTACAAGATGATTTTTTTTTTGCAAATTATTGCATGTAAAATATCCTTATAATAGAAGGCTATCGCATAGTATGGTTTAAACAGCAATTACAAATACAAAAATACAAAATATTTTATTTCATTGACTAAGTGTACATAAAATGCAGAATATTATTTAGAAGCAGTTAAAACCAAACGATGATATATAAATACATCGTTCCGTTTTCGTGAAGACTGATGTGTTAATGATAATTTTGATCTTTGACTTTTTACATATTAAAATACCATAATAAAATTTTTATTTTTCTGCTTGATTGTACATGCGCAGTGGACTCTATTTAATTTCATCTTTGGTGGCGGGACCTATAAGTGACTACCGCCGCCCATGAACAACTGCAACACCAGGGGAATTGCAGGTACGTTGCCTGCCTTTTAGAAAGGAGTAAGTTTTTTTCTTGATTATCCCTAAGTCATATCGGTCCGGAAAACTCGTCAGTGATAAAGTATTCCACATAGAGGTTGTACGAGGATGAAAATAGCAAAACGTAATGGTGGACCGCCAAGCATCCAGATGGTGTGGATGGTATCGGGATGTGCGCTCGAAATTTGGCGGCTAGAATTATTCCGAACAATTCCTCGGAGCACTCCCCGTGAAAGATGAGAGAGAAAATGCAAAGGGATGCAACATCCCTACGCAGCGTCAGTGGATCGAGCCGATCGGAGAAGACTCGGTCGTCGACGATTCAAACCGCTCAGCGCTGGAGGCGGTCAAGTGGAAGGAGCTACCACTGGGGAGCCCCAGCCCAGAGATGAACAGTATTCCATGTGGAGCCAAACCCGCGCCTTATAAAGTTGCACGCGGTGTGCCGGCACGAAACACTGTCTCGCTCTCCTGAGCAAGCCAAGCTTTGCCAATTTGGACTTCTCTTCCCAGTGACGACGAAACTGTACATTCAAATGATATCGCATTTTCAAAGTAGTATTTTTAGTATATATAATATGTTGACTTTGAGAACGCCTTGAGGCGTTAAAGGGGACCCTTTGTACTTTTATGTGCAACTAAGTTTTAAAAAAACACTAACGTAAAACTTACCCATCAGCCCGCCAGTAAACTTAATCAGTGGGTATGGTAGTATTAATTGAAGTGGCACGTAAAATATTGAAGCGAGAATGAAGGCGGGAACTGGGGGAAACACTTGTCTCAAGCCGTCGAATGGAACCTGAAAAAAAGTCTATCGTAAATATTTGAGTGCCATGTATGTGTTGGGTTCTATTTTGCCGCCACTATAACGGTAAGCACGGCGGCAGGGTTTTTTTTTATAGGAGGGGCAAATGAGGCAAACGAGCATACGGCTCACCTGACGATAAGTGATTACCGCCGCCCATGAACAACTACGACAGCAGGGGGAATTGCAGATGCGTTGCAAGCCTTTTAAAAAGGAGTAGGCTCGTTTCTTGAAGTTGTATCGGTACGGAAAAATCTCTGGTGGTAGTCGATTCCAGAAGAAAGTTGTGCGAAGAAGAAAACTTCTTTTAAATGTTTATAGGGGCAGTCTCGTTGGTCTTATGGCCGCAAGCGGAACTAATTACCATGTATCGGGTCGCGCCGAAATCAGTTATTGCTTTTTTTTTAAAGAATATTAATAATGCTATAAACATTGCTAATATTCCCCCTAACCACTCGTGGTAAGTTAAATTTTTGCGATTATTTTTGTACTTTAAAAAATATTGTAAGTATATAATATTTTCAAATAGTGTGCAAATATTTATTACTTTATAAATTAATTTGGGACTATTTAAAATAGCGTAATTCGTAGTATATTGTATAAAGTTGTAATTTTTTTTAAAGAATATTAACAATGTTATAAACATTACTAATATTCCCCTTAACCACTCGTGGTAAGCTTAAATTGATTGTGTTACGAGTAGTTCACGCCAGTAGTCGAATGGTGGATTCGAACCCACGACCTTTTTAAGTTTGCGGTCCACGCCCTGCCATTCGGCTACTGTCGCTTTCTACCAAGAGTTTATCAGTAGCAACCCGGAGTCAGGAATTTGGTGGTGACTTGACCCCGTGCCTCGGAAAGCACGTAAAGCTGTTGATCCTGCGCGCGATACTTCTCCGGCGAATTGCCGTGCACGTGTGTATGCGCAAACACTCGTTGGTACTTACTCCTTACTCTGTGCTCGTGCCCTATAATCCCTTCCTGCGTAGATGACTAGTCTCTGTGGAGACTGGCCGCCGCGCCGTGACCGAAATTCAGTCTGAAGGACATTAGGATTTATAGAGGTTTAATGGAGTTTGAAAATTATTCCCAAATTCAAAATATTTAATTAAGGACAATTAAAATTCTAAATTGTTAGTATACATAATTTCTTATACACAAATTACTATTTAATAGGTGGATGGTACTAGCGATGGACTAACCTATCACTTATTTCACATTTTTCCATCAAAACCCATAGTTTTAGCTAATTATGGTCCAAGTAGCTCGTGTCTATTTGAACTTTGCCTAACGCTTTATTGATTTGCATTTATCACGTAGTCTTTTTTGTATTTAGTTAAATAAAAAAGAAAATGTTATTAAGTCAAGAAAATATTTCTATAATGATTTCTTATATTTACGCGAACACTACATTGTATTAAAAATACTTTTACGGATTTTATCGCGTTTATTTTACTTTTAATTACTTTTATTTTTAGTTCCCGACGTTTCGGGCGGGGGAAATTATCATTTATCTATTGTGAAGAGTCAGAGTCAAAAAAGGCACATACGGCAATTCACAATGCTGTGTTAGTCCCTACTTTAACGTATGGTAGTGAAAGTTGGGTGTGGCAGAAGAAGCACGAGAGTAGAATAAACGCAATAGAAATGCGGTCGTTAAGGACTATGTTGGGGCTGAATCTGAATGGCAGGGTGAGAAATTGTGTGATAAGAGAAGGGTGGTTTGCAAGATGATGTTGTGACCAGGATTAAGAAAGGAATGCTTCGGTTGTGTGGTCATGTGGAAATAATGAATGAGGAAAGGGTGACAAAGAAAATTTATATTGCAGAAGTGAATGGCAGAGTCGGAAAGGGACGTCCTAGGCGAAAATTTATCGACCAAATTAGCGATTTATTGAAAACGGGCCAAATTAGGAATACCCTTAACCGACGAGCACTCTCTCTGCCTACCCCTCTGGGTGACAGGCGTGAGTTTTTATGTATTTATGTATGTATCATTTATCGGCGTATTATCATAGTATAGACAGGTATACATACATACCAGTCTATACTATAATAATTAATAATAAAGGAAGTTGGCGGTGTCTCACCCCCGTGCCTCGGAAAGCACGTAAAGCCGTTGGTCCTGTCCTGCGCCTGATTTCTCTCCGGTCGTGTCGGTTTACCGTCCCATCGGATTAAGAGAGTGAGGGAATAGAAAGTGCACCTGTGCTTGCGCATACACTTGGGCACTATAATCCTGTCCTGCGCCAATGGCTAGTGTCCGTTGAGGCTGGCTACCGTGAACGAAATTCGGTCTGAAGGACATTATTATTATTATTAAAATTAATAATATAAAAAGATAAAATATATTGGATTGTAAGTTTGTATGTGTACTCGTGGGGGCAGCCTTCAAGCTAAATATTTTATTTTGAAAATTCTTTTACTTATAGGAAGATACATTATCCCTGAGTGCTGTAAATTACATTTATGTATCCGGTATTTGAACCGAACCACTGTAGTTCTTATCTAGCAAGCCCTTTGAGTATTCATTGGTTTAATACACAAAGAGCAAGTCGGAGAAAAAATATCGATTAGAAGAGATAAGACTTGCCCTTTAAATTATGTCAATAGGTTATATTATAGTTTAGGAGATAACATTCTTTTTATCATACCTTGATGGAAAGTTCGTATTTCGACCCTACTTTCAGGGATGAAATTGCCACATAGCCTCCCGATGCAATCACTTATTAATTTAGTACGCATGCGTCAAATTTCTAGTTCTATTGTTTTTAAAGGTCAAAGTATAGGTATGTCATGATACATTTTAATATAAATATATAATTGTGATAAAAAATACTATACGTACAAAGGGTGGAAAGTATGACATCGCAACCCGCGTTCTTACCGCGTTAATACCACGCGGGTTGTAATGTCATACTTACTTCCCTAGAAGCGTAATAAACTATTATTTGTAAAAGTCACTGCATATTACGCACAAAAAGTTCGCATGATCATATACGTGATACCACGTACTTGTGGCTGTTTCTTCGTAAGGATTGCACCTAAAACTGATTTTTCTATGAGATGACGATGAGAAGTGATAGATGAGTGAGAATAATAATATAACGTTATGTCGCCATGTATTTGTTTTCTCAACGATTCCCTATAACCATAGTTATGCATTCTCTCACGATGCAATTGAAAATGGTTTGTTCCGTTACTGACCCACCTCCGTCATTCATATTAATGGGAATTTTTATAACAATTTGTCGTTTTAATATGCTCGTATAAAGAAGCATCGTGAAAAACTCTATTGGGGAGGCCATACATAGCAGCCGGGACGAGCGATTGACTAAAGCTGGTTGGAGGCGTGCGAGCTTCCCCATCATTATGTTCGGTTCTTCACAGTACACATCTGCAGAAATGCTCATCCCGTTTCGTAAGAAGCTGTGATGAATCACACCGGCGCTAAACCACCAAAAAGTGACCATCACTTTTCTAGGGGTAAGTTTTCGTTTAAGGCATTGTTTAGGTGCTAAACCTGGATCCCACCACTTGCTGAGCGCTTGCGATTGTCAAACAGAATCCACTTTTCCTCGCAGGTAACAATGCGGTCCAAAATTCCTTCGTTTGTGTGCCTGTTAAGCAGTGCAAGGTACGTTTCGACGCGTACTTCGCGCTGACGATCATTGAGTTCGTTGATTGGGCACCTAGTCTTCTTTACCTTGCCAATTTGACGCAAATTAACCATTTTTGTTTTGATGTTAACGTCGAAAGCTGCTGCTAATTCAGCCGTAGATTGAGTATCATCAGCTTCCATTATCGCATTTAATTCGTCATTGTCGATCAAAGTTTTCCGACGGCCACGTTTATCAGGTCGAAATTTTCAGAACGGAAGCAGGCAAACCAATGACAGGTGATGCATTAATTTGTAGTATACGCTCCGTAAACGTAGTTGACGTTGCGTGCCGCTTGTGCCGCGTTGCTGTCACGACAATATTCATATTCCATAATTACTCGAATTTTTAACGTATCCATAATGATGAAAAAGATTCAAATGCGTTGGAAACATAACGCTAATCGATAAACAAATGACTAATTTTGAAAAAAGAATTTCATTTTTTTTTAAATAAAATTAATTTAAAAATAGAATTCTTAGCCAAACAAAAATTACTTTTATTTGAAATGGCCAGCACTATAGAACTGCAATTTCATAGATAAAGATCTAAGTATTATATAAGTATAACAGTAGGTCCTAAGGTTACATGTGTGTACACAAATAATTTTTTTAGTGTGGTTGTATTATGTGAGCCACGGTCACAAATCATCCGGAAGGAATATTAATTATTTGTCATTATATTAATATTTTCAACACGTTTTTATTAGCTTCGCATGAATCTATCTATGAAACATAACATAAACACTCACGCCTGTCACCCAGAGGGGTAGGCAGAGACTACAGACTTCCATTTGGCACGACCCTGACACACCTCTCTCGCCTCCTCAACATTCACATACTTACGCATATAACTCATACATGCATGCACAGTCAAGGGTACTCCTAATGGACCACTATGGACCACAGCAACCACTTACCATCAGGCGGACTGTGTGCTCTTTTGTCACCCTATCCTAAAAAAAATCTTTTAATGTAATTTTCACCGACCTGTAGACGGCCAAATGATTTAAAATTTGACTTTTTTTAATTCTTACCAACTTTAGTATAATGGATTTCCACAAATTAAACCCTATTAATTAACTTTATCTAGTATCTTGATCAAGATTCCAGGATCAATTAAAATAATCAGCTTAAGATCGATCCGTGTCGAATATGTTTTACTAAAATCTAATATTATTATACATATTATCCGTCTAAAAAGCTTAAATCCATAAATAGTTATACGTTTCGTATGTTATTACATAGCTGATTTTGTATTACACCTGCACTTATATAACTATTTCTTGAGAGTGGTTATTTTGACGTTAATGAGTGTTTAAAATAACCTATATCC